TCTTCAGACATCCTTTTATGGATTTTCATCAAATGACTACTTTTATTGCTACTTTTATTTGACAGATAACTAATGTGACTTCCGTTTATAAACTGTGAAGTATCTATCTATCTATCTATCTATCTATCTATCTATCTATCTATCTATCTATCTATCTATCTATCTATCTATCTATCTATCTATCTCGCAAAGACCAGTAGGACTTTCTTCGAAAGGTTTTTATTCTATTATTTTTTTTAAAGACCAAAGTTCATTTTTATGCCGCTTTTCGACTTTGGGAGGCTGAATTCCATTTTCGGTTCCAGATTTTCACACAAGGGCAGTGGACAATGGTCAACTATAATCCCGCTCTTCTTGTTTGCGGTGGTGACATGCAGGCTGTCAGATGAGGTCAGGCAAGAGTCTGTATACACTGTGAGGTTCAGGGATGACATTGTGAGACTACTGAGGAGGGAGTAGGTGGCGATATAGGGAAAAGGAATGTGTGTGTTTGAGGAGACTGGTGCAACAGTGAGGATGTAAGGAGCAGAGGTAGTGAAGGTAGAGGACTTTAAACCATCCAAAGAAATGGACAGCACACAAGAAAGGGGAGGCAGGGGACGAGTGTCAGGGGTGATTTGAAACAGATTTCTGTTGTTGAACTCCATGTTTATAAAAGCAGAGGTATGAACTCACTGATTCCTCATGAAGGTGTTACATGGAAAATCCAGTGTGTTTGTTTTTGTTTTGTTAAAATCATTTCAGGCTTTAAGAAGTCCTACTTTCTGAAAGGATATGGCAACATGAGTGATGCATACAGTTTCTGTGTATAAACCATCTGTAAACGAAGCCCGCTTGTGTTCTTGTAGCCTCTTTTAGCAGGTTGTAAAGACTCCCCAAGCTTGTCTCCAATCGCTGGTGTCATATTGGAGCGTCTCAGCTCGGCTCCCCTGCAGAAGTCATCATCCTTCCTGGGCTCCAGATCCGGAGACTCCAGCCCTGTTCTCTCAGAAGTCTCTATTTCTTCTACCGGATCTGTCGCCGATGTCAGCGCCAGGACAGCTGCATTTTCTGCAGCAGCGTCTGTAAAGAATGAGCGAGAACAGGCAAGTCCTCAATGTCTCTCTTATGTGTCATGTTGTAAAACAGTTTTCCAATTTAACTGAATATCTGACCCTGATGGTTTTTGCTTTGTTTTTTTCCTCATGCTGATGCTCTGTAGAGTCTTAGTGATAAGGTGAAGGATGAAAGTCCAGAGGCAGATGTCAGTGGAGTTTCCAGTCCTACGTCACTTCCTGCCATTTCCCTCCTGTCTCCCAAAGCCATGGAGATGGCTGGCTGTATCATCAAAGTTCAGGAGGAGCATCGAGAAAAGGCTAAGGTTCAAGTTTTTGACAGTGTTTTTTTATTTTAATTTGTTTTTACTGAAAAACAGCTTAACAGTGATCATCTTTTTTTTTTCTTTACATTTAATTTTATTTGCAAACCTAACTTCAAATGTTTTTTTTTGTTGTTGTTGGTTTTTTTTTTTTTAACTCTTATGATTTTTGTCAGTAGCAACTTGTTTTATTGTATTTATTTTAGTTTGTTTGCTTTCAGCTTTTGTTTTTAGAAACTAACATGTAATCTAAACGTATGAATATGTTCAGGCTTTCCTGTGAAAGTTTATGGAAAAGCATGTAATGTTAGATGCTTAGTAATTACTGGAAATGGGTCTAAACTTCTTCATACTAACCTCTGCTGGCTTGCTGATCAGAGTTATATATTTTGCATGTTGACCCCTGCGTACTATATACTTGGTAAGGGTCTCACCGGACTGTCTTCTATCTATCGACTCAGTTGGCCCTCAGGGTGCGGCAGGAGATGCAGGAGAAGCTCGTAGCGGCGGTTGCGAGCGCTGAGTCAGAGCAGCTAAAACGCTTTGAGGAGCTCATGGAGCTGAAGCAGAGGCAGGAGTACCAGAGTATGAGGGACATGATGGAAAGAGAGTAAGGGAAATAATGACGCATTCGAAATGATTAAAATGCTTAAAAATGTCTGAAATGTTACATGCGATTAAACACCTGGTCTGGTTTTCCACTTCCTGTACTGCAGAACAAAGGAGAGCATCGGGCGTCAAGAGAAGCTGAAGGAGGAGCAGCGGCGTAGAATAACGGTACGTGGAAAGTTCAGGAAACGTGAAGCTTAAACCCCTGTTTGTCAAGTTGTTTACTGAAGTCTTTAATTTTGCTTGTTAACCTTACAAAAATTGTGCATGTTTCAAAGTGTGAAACAGATTGTGAGATGCTGGATGTGCAGAGCTCTGCAGCAGGAGAAGTAGATGCTCTTTATTTTTGGTAGTCTGCTGTAGTAATGATCTCCTGCACATACAGGGGCATTTCTTGTGCTCAGTGGGATAGAAAAAGTTATCTCGTTCCTGTGCTGTTCATGCTTTTTGTTTGTCCGTCAGCTCGTCAACCTACGGCTGAGGGAGGCAGAGCAGCAGCGTCTTCGGGAGGCAGAACTCGAGAGGCAAAGGCAGGCGGAGGGCAGGGAGAGACTGCGTAGCCTCAACAGCATCCAGGAGGAGATCCTGCAGCTCAACCAGCTGCTTGAGCCCTCCACCCAGACCAAGACGGACCTCCCACTGGCCAGCCTCAGCTCCTACAGCACCAGAGGGAACCAGCTGTGCTCCCAGGTGTCGGAGGTGGTGCGAAAGACTGCAGAGGTCGGTTTACATCGAGATTTTTAAGGTTTATGCTCCTCCTAATTTCTGCTTGTACTCATGAAATGCGTGTGTTCTGCCTATTTCAGGGCAACTTCCCCAGCTTGGAGGACATGACTGTGGCAGAGCGAGCCCTGCACGAGATGAGAGCGCTTATTCGGCTGATGCAGGAGGAAGCGGCCAATGTTCGAGAGAAGAAAAAGAAGGAGCAAGAGCAGGAGGAGGAGCGCAGGAAACAGGCGGAGCTGCTGGCGAAGCAGGAGGGGGAGAAGAAGGCGGCACAGCTGGCCAAAGAGAAGGCACAGAGGAAAGGTGATGAAGGAGAAGGCTTAGCTGCGTCATGCATCTGTACAGCTGGAGGTGTTGTCAGCAGCTTGTGCACAAAACAAAACATCCTGTTTGCATAAAATAATTTGGAGAATAATTATAGACCAAAGTATGGATTTTGACTAATTTATTTATTTACCCCCCTTATCCAGATATATTGCTGAGTGTTTTCACCATTTCATACTGAACCTCTTCCTGCAGGGTTGCAGAACAGCGCTGAAGACGTCACGCTGAAGTGGTACAAGGATCTGCAGGAGGCGGCCTCTCGGTGCGCTCAGTCCTTCGAACAGCTCAGCTCTGCAAAAGACGGACAGGTGGGTTTGTTCACATTCAGATGAAAGACTTTGAGATGACGGAGGAAGGACTGTGACATTCTTAAAGGTTTTTACCTCCAGCAATATTTTAATTTAATAGATTAATTCTTTAAGTAGTGAATCCATTAATCCATAATTTATGAAATGATGGACTTGGTTGATGGTTTCTGTGTCTGTGTAGGCTTTTACTTTAGGATCTGGACTTTGAACTAGGAATTATTTAAGTGATGACCTTAAAGATCTCAGTCCTGGTTCATGTATCATTACTAGTGCAAATGAGAAATATGTTTTAACACCGCAGGTCACTGAATTCTCAGGGACATCGAAAGGAAATTTCGTCCTCTTTTAATAACTCTGTGACTGGCCTCTTTCCATCATTCTCAAAGCATGTTTCCATGTTTGATATGAGGGGTTCCCACCTGACTCACTCAGCTGAAAAGTATTAAAGACAGCATTTGGTCATTAAAAATTCAAATTTAGCTTTGACACTGAGTGTTATCTGAGTTATAGGCTCACCAATTACCCAAGGACCAAAACTGCCAAAATAAATACAAAAAAGAAAGTAAAAAATATATACTGTTGCAATTCAATTAGTTCACATAAATATTTGTATAATGAATTCATAAAATTGATTTCTTTCATTTGTTATTTGCCCCCTGTTGTGGCGCTCCTTGGACACGGCACTCTGTTGTTCAAAGTCTAGAGAGCTGTTTGTCCTTGAATAAATAAATAAAATAGAATAAAATAAAAATATTTATCAAATTATAAATACAATAAAAATAAATAAATGCACAGAGGTTAAATTGAAAGGGAAGGAAAAATAAATAAAATGAATTAATAAATAGCAAAATTTACATGGGAATGGGGAAAAAAAAAAGATGCTAAAACTGAAAAGTACACGTAATAAAATTACTGAATTACATTCGGAGGATTTAATAGTATAGATTTTTATTTATTTATTTTTTAATATATAATTACTCAACTTATAATAAGTTGGGTCATTTATTTTTTAATAATAATTATTTTAATAATAATTATTATTTTGGCCACCATTTTCGAGCCTTAATAACTTTATCATAGGAGCTGATGGTGTGAAATCATCTCAGTTTGAAAACTTCATTTAATTCTTTCATTAAAACATTTTTAAAAAGCAGCTCAAACACAAGCTGACACACACGAAACGTCTTCACTGTCTGTTTATGACTCGAGTGGTTTAATTTCTCCCAGACAAAGAAACTGAAGCTGGAGCTCCAGAAAGCTGCCACCATCCCTGTCAGTCAGATCGCCAGCAACTCCGGATCGCAGCTCCGAGAAATCTTCGACAAGATCGACAAGCTTCTGTCGGGACGGCCGGTCGTGTCTGGGGGGAAATCGGTATCCACCTCACAACATCCGCAGGGTCTCGATTTCGCCAGCTACAAACTGGCGGAGAAGTTTGTGGTGAGCGTGCGCACAAAATGAATGATTCGACACAGAAGTCTGTTTTTGTTTGTTTGTGAAGTAATCCTTTGTTAATTTGATATATTTTGTAGAATTTGTATAAGCAAGAAGAAGCTGTGATTTTTCAATTATTATTTTTTTAATATCTTTTATTTATTTATATTTTGGCTGTGTAGAAACAAGGAGAGGAGGAAGTGGCGTCTCACCACGAAGCGGCCTTCCCCATCGCCGTGGTGGCTTCTGGAGTCTGGGAGCTGCACCCTCAGGTGGGAGACCTCATCCTCGCCCACCTGCACAAGAAATGCCCCTATGCAATCCCTCACTACCCTCCGATGAAGGAGGGCACGCCCGTGGATGAATACCAGAGGATTCTTGGTTACCGTGTAGACGACTCTGGGGTCGAAGGTCAGGACAGTTTCTTGAAGAGGATGTCCGGGATGATTCGCCTCTACGCCGCCATCATCCAGCTGAAGTGGCCCTACAGCTCCAAACAAGGGGTAAAAACGGTCCCGCTTCCTGCTTTTATAATGTCAAACAAGCAAAACTTCAGACTGAGGAGGCAGAGATTTCTTCCTGATTCTTATTAGGAAACGAGAAAGACTAAAGACGCAGTTTGAAAAAACAAACAAATAACGGGGGAAGAGAAGATATATTATTTCTGTGCATCGAGGAGGTTTTCAGGAGAATTGATTGGTCTCAATCATTGGGTGTAACTTACTCTGGAGCATCTTAGTTACCATGGCAATGAATTGTCCAAGGCTAAACCTAAAGTTGCCTATAATGTCTAAAAGTCCCTCACTTTTTCAAAAATGTAGTTATTTATTTTTTTGTTTCAGCCCGTTCCTCATGGTCTGAACCACGGCTGGCGTTGGTTGGCTCAGATGCTCAACATGGAGCCTCTGGCAGACGTCACAGCGACTCTGCTGTTTGACTTTCTAGAGGTGAGTCTGGACACATCCTGCACATTATCAGGTGTGTTTGTTGCTTCAAACAATCAGCGGCTTGCATTACCGGCCCATGAACCATGAAAAAGTGTCAGGTGAAATGACCACAGTCCCTGAAACTCTTTAAACCTAAATCTAAACTTCAGTTTCTTTGTCGCTGAAAGCAGCTGTGGATAACTCCTGAGCGTTGTTTCCTTCAGGTTTGTGGGAACGCTCTGATGAACCAGTATCGGAGCCAGTTCTGGAAGCTCATCCTGCTACTGAAAGAGGAATACTTCCCCAGGTAGAAAGCACGTTTTAACAGTAAACATTTCACCTGCAGCAGTCAAGTGAGAGGTTTAACCTAGAAGTGTTTCTGTGCAGGATTGAAGCCGTGACCAGCAGTGGACAGATGGGCTCAGTCATCAGACTCAAACAGTTCCTGGAGGTATGTGACCCCCCCCGACATGCTGTGAAGGTTTGGACGTTAGCTCAGTGAATCCTTAAAACAGACATGTGCAGACTGTAAAGGAATTTATGAGTACGTGAGTGAATCCCAAGCAGTCTCTGCTCTTCCAAATAAAAAGATTGATAACACTGATGAAAAGTGGCTGCTGCTAGTTCTCTGGTACCACGATTGTATCCGAGAGGAGGGAAATGGTAAATGGCCTGTATTTGTATAGGTGCTTTACTAGTCCCTAAGGACCCCAAAGTGCTTTACACATCCAGTCACCCACACATTCACACACTGGTGATGGCAGCTACATTGTAGCCACAGCCACCCTGGGGCGCACTGACAAAGGCGAGGCTGCCGGACACTGGCGCCACCGGGCCCTCTGACCACCACCAGTAGGCAACAGGTGAAGTGTCTTGCCCAAGGACACAACGACCGAGACTGTCCAAGCCGGGGCTCGAACCTGCAGCCTTCAGATTATAAGGCGAACTCCCAACTCTTGAGCCACGATCGAAAGTGGACATACTTGACAAAGGAGGTTTAATATGGAGCTGCCAGGCATGAGGATAAGGGGAAGACTACAGAGACGGTTCATGGGTGTATTGTGACATGCAGAGGATGGTGGGATGCTGTGAGATGAAGGCAGATGAGCAGGTTTCAGTTTGTAGTTATTTAAAGAGAGGGCTTTTCAGTGTACACAAACACGTTCCTGTGCAGTCCTCTGGGAAACGCAACAGGGAAGGGAGCGGCAGGAAAACATGGAAAAGCATCAAATAAACATCCAGCTTGAAAACTGCAGACAGTATCTGCAGTGGAGACGTTGTTTTTATGGTCTGCTTCACTTCAGCTCTTTTTCTTTTTCTTTTTTTTAATGTTTTTTTGCCGATATTAGATGGTCGAGAGTGAAGGAAAAATATTCAGTAAAGTTCCTCGGGTCAGATTCACACCCTGGCCACTCTGGCATATGGTCGCCTGCTCACCCCGTGAGCTAAACTGGTTCCCTCATTTTAGCTCTTTGCGTGTTTTAACTTCACTCTACTCCACGGCGAGCTGATGGACCGACAACGGCACAAATGAGAGTGGCCACCAGACCAGTTGACTCATACTGCGGACACAGCCTCCATCAACAGACGCTCTCTGCGGGTAGACGGGCTGTCCGAGGCTCCCTGCGGTTTTCCAAGGCACTGCCAGCGAGAACCATGCTGAGCCCTTCGGTCATCACAGGTCTGCAGCCATGAAGCTGCGACTGAGCGAACAAACCACACGATGGTTAGAAAATGCTTCAACAACAGCAGTGCTCATTACTGTAATCTATATAAAAAAACAAAACAATAAGAGTTTAATAAGCTGTTTGGTAAATGTGAAATTTAACTGGCAAATAAAGGGAAGCGTCTGAAACGAAACCTGCAGATTAACGGCTTTAATATCGATCTCCTGTAAACCCAGAGAGAAATATTTCCTTCCCTGATAAAACTCTGTAATTCCATGCTTGGGTTTTTTCTCCTTCTTGCACCTCCTATAATTCAAACTGCTGAATTATTCAGAAATAAAATGAAATAAAGGCCAAAAAGAAGTTGATTTACAATTCAAAGTGCTGCATGGCAAACAGTAAAACAGTTGGGGGGTAAATAATGATTGTAAAACAAAAGGGAACATAATTAAAACCGGTGTACTGTTTATAGAAACGGGTGTGAAGTAGATCTAGTCTGGATTATGAGGAGTGTTTACAGACTGGTGGCCTAATCTACTTGAGCACTTAAAAGTGAAGCTATAGAAAAGGTTTGACTTCAGCTACAAGTCTTATTTTAGAGACTCTGACTTTGAAAGCAGACGGAGCAAAAATGGCACAGATTTGAGAAATTCTGTAATATTTGAACTGAACTGCGTGACGCTGAGCTGGATTAAAACTTTGGAATTAAGTTGTATTCTCACTGAGCTGAGTTTAAACATCAGCTCAACATTTTAAGGGGCTTAATGATGAGATGCTGTCTGTTATTACACACAGTACCAGTGCAGTGTTATGCTTTTATTGAAATGATTGTTTTTGTGTTTTATCTCAGACATCGCTGCAGAGACGACAGATCAGTCCGCCCAGAGGCCAGCTGGGCTCCGGGTTCTGGAGGTCTTGACCGACGACGACCTGCGCTGGGTGACGACGCCATTGTAGGACTGAGTCAGGCAGAAATGAATTGAGAGCATCTGTGAGTGGAAAGAGGGGAAAAAGTTGTCCTGTGGTTTTAGTTTTTATCTAAATGAGCACACTGACGTCACGCACTGACGACACACACTGACGATGCACACTGACGTCGCACACTGGAAGCCTCACGAGTCCTCTGCGTTTGTGAGGTCACATTTTTGAGGTCACATCTGCTTCTGCTGACCTGAAGCAGACCTGTAGACACCTGTGGGGTACTTTTAACCTTAACTTCATTGGCTGCTTTTCTGCTGAAATTCTTGAGCTTTTCTTAAGGGTTGTGTTTTTGTTTTTTTGTTTTTTTTAATTCCCAGGTGTGTCGAGTCATTCCTCCTAAAGAGAAACGCTTTCACGGCCTTAACTTTCACATTAAATTATTTTGCTGATTCAGATAATTTTTAATAGTTTAACTCCTTGTTTTTCTCCTTTTTTGTGGCACAAAAACAGCAAAATCTCTATTACAAAAATAACTAACCAGTTTTAAAGTGTTTCAGCTGCGCAGACACCGGCGAATGTCGTCTTATTTGTCGATACTTCGGTGCATTTCCACCATTGCTGCTCACGCGTCTATCGCCTTACTCACACATAGTCTGTGTAGGCAGCTGGCAACATTTGATCATTCAGATCTCTGACATACTGGAACAAAATGTGGTGAGATTGATTAATAAAAACTGGATTAAAAGCTACTGAAATCAGAAAGTGAAACAAAATTATTTGTCAATGAAGTAAAAATCAAATGATTGATGCTTTTAAAGGTTCTTCTTGAAAATCCCTCTGTTTTTAAAAATGCTTTAAAACCTTCCAAAATTGAAGCTACCAGCAGAACTGCTTTGACTTTATCATACTTTATTTTAGAGATGAAGAGAAATCTGCTGAAGTTAAACTCAGACTGGGCTCTAATGCTGTGCAGTATCAATTTTATACCACCAGATGGTGCAGTGAGTAAGTTTAACCTTTATTTAACCAGGTAAACACAGCCTGACAAAAGGCAAAGCTTGTAGAGGAAATGGATAAAATAAAATAATAAAAGAGCAGCCGCACACGTCTCTAAACACTACAGCAACGCTGCTGGTAAAATGCTGCCCCCTGGTGGTGAGGGGTTTAGATCCCACAGAGGGCAAATTACAAAAATTACCTTTAAAGGCTGCTCTGTTAACATCCGACCTGAAGAAGCAGATTCAGGTCATCTGCTCAGGTGGCCAGATGTGCCTGCTTTGATTTCTGAGTGGAGTAAAACATGAGAAAATGAGGACGTGTTGATTTTAATGCGTCCAAGTCAGTGAGGTTTCCAGTGTCGTCGTTTTGTTTACAGCTCTCAACATAAGTTTCATCATCCTGAGGAGAGAGAAGCTGCTTACTTGCAACGTTTTAGCAGAGCAGGTAGAAATCTGTTTATTCAGCCTTAATATTTTCTGTTCAAATCAAATTGTGTCAAATGATTTGGACTTTTTATTTATTTTTTTCACTGTGTGGAGCAAAAAGTCATGGTTTGAAGTGTTGTTTTAAATCATTGTCCATGAGAGAAACCAAAGGTTTGATCCAGAAATGATCGCAGACTGTTTTGTAAAGTGAAACTCAAAGTGATTGTTTTCTGAATGTGATGAAGAATAAACAAATGTATTGGTACCAGAATTAGTGCAGTCTATAGGAGTTGTTGAAAATGTGCAAACTAAATGAAATAAAATCAATCAACACTTAGTGGAAAATTTCCCTTTTGGATTTCTTGCTTTTGCTCATCGCGTTGTAGAAGTCTGTCACATTATCATTTTTTTAATTTATTTATTTTTTGCTTTAATCTTCTAAAATCAGATTATTTGGGGCTTGTTCTGTGTATTTTAAACTGTCTGACATGACATTTTGAGCAAATTTGCAATGTACAGCTGTCAGAAGTTTATATGCACTGATGAAGATGAATGAATGCAATTTGGGGCTTTGAATGATTTCTTTTCCTGGGATGGAAGGAATGTGCAGCTTATGTCTTCTCACTGATCAAAACTGTAGATGTTGTTTTACTATTAATCTCTGAGAGCTCTGTTCTTTGTATCTTAGCTTCCATTTAACTGAACCTCTTCAAACATGGCAGCTGTGTTTCAGAGGGTTCCAGTATGTTTACTGCCAAGTTTGAGGTCATTTGGATGAACTGTTCTTATCATATTTTGGCTAAAGGTTGTGTGTTTGCAGTGTTTTATCTGCAGTGACTGCTCCCTGCCCCACTTTGCATGTAGGGGGCTCGACATGTTTGTCTTCACAAAGATCCAAGACCTGCTGTCATGTGTAGTTTGGAGATGGTGGCATTATGGAAAAGAGCCGAGCACAGCTGAAGATGCTTAGATTTTCACTGGGAGTGACCAGGATCAGAAATAAGTATTTCGGAGGCCGGGCAGTTTGGATGAGTGCAGAGGAACAATGGTGGATATACCTTCTAGAGAGACGATTCATAGATTTAGTGAAGGACATGCAGACGGTTGACGTGACAGAAGAGGCTGCTAGAATGGGTTGAGATGGAAGCCAATATGGCGAGCCCAAAAGGAACGCCAGAAGACAGAAAGTGAAGGTGCTGACACAGAGGAATAGTCTAAGATTTAGGGTTTCCAGGAAGGACTTCATAGGGGGACATGGTCCTAAAAGGACCATAATTCCTTATGCTACAAATAAGATTTTAATTTGCATTAAAATGTCCTAAAACAATTTTTCGTAAGATTTTAAATGCCTAAAGTAGATGAAGTGAGACTGAAGTGTAATTCAGTAAAAACTGGTATTCAAGCATGTGGCTTAACCCTTTAAATCCCAACCTAATTTACCTCTTAAACCAGGGATGGGGAACTCCAGGCCTCAATGGCCGGTGTCCTGCAGGTTTTAGATGTGTCCTTGATCCAACACAGCTGGTTTAAATGGCTAAATTATCTCCTCAACATGTCTTGAAGTTCTCCAGAGGCCTGGTAATGAACTAATCATTTGATTCAGGTGTGTTGGCCCAGGGTGAGATCTAAAGCCTGCAGGACACCGGCCCTTGTGCTGCGGGTTTTAGATCAGAAACACACATTTTTATAAAACTAACACATTAACTGCACCAACATGTGGTTTAAAAAGAGACAACCTTCATGTTTACCTTTTTTATTTGACCTTTTTACATCTATGCACACTGAGTCGTTTTTATTACAGTTACTTCAGCTGCAGCTGAAATATTGCATATTAAACACATTCGGTGCCAGCTCGATGATTATTCGTACATTTTTTACCCAAACAGTCGCAGAACATATCGATTCGTCATGGCTTGACCGACACTGCATCAGAGGAACAATCATCTGAAATAAATACAGAGAACATGAACCGTTTTTCCACACAAAGCTGCAGAAACGAGCCTCAGACTCTGCAGTCCTGAGCACAGACGATTTTGATTTCCAAGATTTTCCCATGTGAGATAAGTAGGCGTAAAACTCTAGCTCAGAAATAAACAGTGTTACAAGAAATAATTTATACAGCCAGTTTCTAAATTCCTATGTTCAAAAGGACAAACCAGCGTAGGGAACAATCACGTCTTTCCTTCACACACCAGTCTTGACCTGGAAATCAGTTTAATTTTGTTCATAGCCACACTGTAGACTGCCTGATGAATGAGAATGGAAAAAATCTAAAGTAATTCAAAAATATGTGGATGAAATTAGAAGACAAGCTGCATGAATATGTGCAGATTTCTCCTTTAACCGTACTCTGAAGATGTGACTTTTCTGTTCCTTAAAAATAACAAAACAAGATCAAGTGTTTCAGTGATATTGTTGTTGCAGTTCGTCTATTTCACCACTAGAGGCCAGTAAAAATGACAGACCTTTAAACGAGCAGATTTGATCCACAAAAGCAGCTCTGTTAATGATGGAGTCAATTAAAAACCCACTCACAAGAATTAACAGGTTCAGGAAGTTGAGTGACCACTACAAGACCTGGCGGTGGTCGTCTTCTGGTTGCCGTCCTTCAGGAGCTTTTACTGTTCAGTGTTTATAAGGCTCAGCGTTAAGACCCTCGTGGTTGAGCGTGGCGCTCTCCATGCGTCTGTACCAATATTTCACTTTGGTGTTCGCCATCATGTCATCAAACGCCTGCAGGCCCTCCATCACCCTCAGGACTCCAAACACTGACTGTAACAGAAGAGCACAGGTGCAAAGCCTGAAGATTAAAAATAACTTTTCCTAAAGTTTACTCACTGTTAAAATTGTGGCTGCTTGTATGAAACATGACCAGAGTTTCAAATAATTAGGCAATCCCTGTGAGCCAAAAGCTCAGGGACTGGTCAGACTGGTCGAAATGCCGTATTTCAGGGTTTTTTTCTGCTCTTGGATCTCTGTGATGTCATAAAGGAGTGGATATAATGGACTGTATACTAAGGATGGACACAGTGAAGCCATTTTGTCGTGTTTTTAAATTGGATGTTAGAATTGTGAGGTAGATCTACATGCTCATTGGCTAATGGTTGTCTGTCACACAGTAAAGTGTTCCATCCAGTGCTATCTGCCTGGTTTTGTTACATAAAGTAACTAAAATAAAAATACTAAAATTGTGTAATTAAAGTGTTACTTTTACAGTAACAATGAACATTATGCTTTAAAACAAGCACAAATACAAAGAGTAACTTTCTTGATGGCACTCGCATTGATGTGAACACCAGCAAGAAAATGATCCTTTTGAACTACAGATGTTTAAAGGAAAGTACACACATTTTTTGTAAACATAGAACAAACTGGGCACCAATGCAGCGCCTCCGTCTGGGGGAGTGTAACCAAGTTACTTTTGTAACTGTCCTTTATAGATGGTCTGCAAACACATCACACACTGTGGCGAGCTCTCGCTTCTGGGGGTTAAGACTTAGTTTTAAAGTTATGTTAAGGGTTAACTTAGTGGTAAGAGGCTTGAGAGGGCAATAATGGGATTGAATGTCCTCACAATGTCAATCAAACCAACATGGATCAGCGTGTATGTAGGCCCCGCCCCCAACATGCAGCGTGGAGCAGGAGTAGTCACCGCAGGGGAAACGCTGATAACAGAAACCAACTTTTAGCCAAAATAAGATGAGAACAGCTCATCCACACAACATTAAACTTGTTACAGCACTTATTCAGCTCGTCAGCATCACACCTGCCGAGTTTAAGTGAGGTGGAGCAAATCAACAGCTGGAGATACACAACGAACAGGCACATGGACAAAATATTAGTAATCTAGACCTAAAATTTGTATTTGAGGCCATCAGTGCGTGTTTTCTAAAACATCTGCAGAACAAGATGTATTATTCAAGCACCTGCTGACCATTACAAGAAAACAGGTTTAAGTTGCTTCAACACTGGCTTCACTTTTCAGACCTGAAAACTACCTCTTTCTATCTCTATCGGTCTGTGGTGAAGCTTTAATCAGGCTAAT